CAGGACAACGTGAACACAGGGGCAGCTTCCTTATTTGATAAGGGATGCTATTGAAACTGCCCCTCTTTCCTCCGCTCCCTGTACAGCCTTCTGGTCCTGACTCCATTAAGAGATGATCATGAATAGAGTGGGCAGACCCCACAGGGTATGCTATCAGGATTGGGGGTCACTCTCTAAAATTAAAGCTGGTAAGAATGAACAGAAAATATGAGTAACCAGCTGTAAAGGTGACTTACCCCTAGAATGTGTTGTAATGTAGTTCTAATGAAACTAGGGTTTCTGAAATCTCAATGGGCCTCTGAAAAAAATGCAACTCATGTCAGCGGAAGTCCTGGAATACCACGTGGGTCAGGTCTCACTCACAGTTACAGGGGGCCTGGAGTCTAGACTTATGATATTATCTCTGATGACGAAGTTACACATCCAACCACAGAGATAGCTAACAGGCAGGATTAAAAAAAAACACTGCTCATTCATCATCTTTGAACTTCACATTTGTAGTCTCAATGCCAGATCACATTACCTGTAGTGCACTTTGAAGAAATATTTAATGTTTTTATAAACAGAAAAACTTTGTTTATTGCCCCTTTTCCTGTTAAAATTGTTAATATTGGAAATACACACATGTACTGTATACCACAATTGTAATCCTGTAACTTTTTTTATTCTGATAATCTCAAAAAGACAGAAGTGGCCCAGGACTCCCTTGACCTCTGAAACATCCAGACTAAGATAAACTGGTCTAATTTATGACATTCTTTCCTATCTAGGTAATGTTTCCCTTCAGTGAGTTTTGATAAATATCAATCTTTGCTGTTAAGAACCCCTTTTACTATTTTTCCCACACACCCCATGTATTGTCTACCAAATATAATGCATTAAGTACTAGTTCATTTCATGATTTTATTAAATACATAAATAAGTTGTCAAGTTTCTGGTAGTCATGATGTAGCCTTCACTCATTCAACAAACATTTTTTTTTAGCAACTACTATACGCCAGACATTATGTTAACCATTGGGGATAGAAAGATGAATAAAACAAAACTCACAGTCCAGTGAGGGGAGCCAAACATATAAATAGATAATCCATAAAAATAAATAATGTTAAAGGCACACAGAGAGCATTGGAGAAGCATGAAGAATGAACACCTAGGCGAAAATCAGAGAAAACTTCCTGGTGTAAGGAATTTCTAAAAGATGAGGAATGTTTGCCAAAAATTACAGTTTATAAGTCAGATGGATAAAGACAAATACTGTATGATTTCACTCATGTGCAATACATTTTTTTAAAAAAAAGAACAAACAGGGCCGGCCGAGTGGCGCAATGGTTGGGAACTGGTTTGGAATGCCAGAGGGCCCCGGTTTGGATCCCACATGTGAGGGCCGGTGACACTGCCCTCTCCAGCTAAGATGCTGAACGGCGGCTCAGCCTGGAGCTGGGCTGCCATGAGTCACTGGCGATGGCGTAGGCTGCAGCCCCTGTGGCAGTGGGTTGCCGTGGGCTACCTTGTGTGGCCGGCAGCCGGCATGAGCGGCCAGCGGCCGCAGTGAACAGCCGTCCAGAGGCCGGCGACTGATCTGCCTCGCCCGGGAAGAGCACAATGATGGTGCCAACTTGGGCCAGTGGGGCGGCATCCTCCACGACTGGACTGAGGAACAGAACGACAGCAGCTTGTCTGTTCCCCTTCCCCCAATTCCCCAGCTCTGTTCCCATCCCCCAAATTCCCCAATTAAAAAAAAAAAAAGAACAAAACAAAGCAAACTCATAGATACAAACAAAAAATGTGTGCTTACCAGAGGAGAATGGGATGGGGGCAGGGCGAAATGGATAAAGGGAGTCAGTTGTATGGTGCTGGATGGAAATTCATGTGATAAACCAATGGTAGCTCAATAAAAAATTTTTTTCAAAGAATAAAATTACATTTTAGTTAGCTTAACTGGTCTTTTTGATATGTGTGATTTCCACTAAAGATTTTGAATTATTATGAAAGTGATTGGAAGTTCCCCTTTTCTTTCCTTGAGAATTCCAGAAAGGCAACCATTGTTTTAACAGAGGTGATAATGGTAGGTAGGAGTGAATTTCAGAAAATAGAGAGCTGACCAAAGAGAAGTAGTTTACCATATTCACCCAAGAGGGTGTTCTGCTCAGCCAAATGTTTTTGTTTACTGCTTGGCAGGTAGAATCCTGTACTGGTAGAATTTTGGGGGTATATCAAATTGCCAGATCCCTTACAGTTATACATTTCCTTTTACTGTTCAAAAAACGTTATAGTCAACAGACAACTTATTGATGTTGATTTGGTTTCCCAAGGAAACTTTCCTACTGCTAAGGGTATGAGCTACCAATGGATTCCATTATTCCAGTTAATTTTGCATTTTTCATTATTCACCTAAATTAATAACTGAGCCCTCTCTTTTCATCAGTGTCTCCTGTAGGTTTGATTACTAAAAATCAGTTGCCAAAACACCAGATCATTCTACTGTGAATTGGCAAAACTGAATCTGTGTACTTTTTTTTTCCGCCTGAAGCTGCTAGTTTGGCCTTCATCCTGTTCAATGGAAAACTACTAGTTCAACGGGGGAACCATTAAACATCTTTTAAGCAAGGGACTAAGAATCAGATTTACTTTTTTAAACATCATTTTAGTAGCTATATGAAGGATACATTGGGGAGAGCGATTGAAAAGCCAGTTAGAAGGCTATGTAGTATTGTAGTGAGAAAGGATGTGTTCCTCATGGAATCCCTAGGATTTCTGTGATTGAAAAAACCTTGTTTTTTGAATGAGGTCAACAAGTATAGAAGAGTTTGTGTACTTTCAAATTGAAGACTATGGTGTGGATATGGATTGAAACTTATCTTCTTCATTCTGCTCTTAAGTGCAAATTCTGTTTCTTAAGTCTAAGTGTTCTTGTAATAATTTGATCCACCATGTGTATCATCCCTATTCTGATGACTCTCAAATTTATATGACGAGCCCAGATCTCTCCTCCCAATTCATGTATCAAAGAATTGCATCTCAAATGGCAGTTCCCCAAAATATTAAAAACAGAATTACTACATGATCCAGCAATCCCACTTTGGAGTATATATCCAAAAGAATTGAAAGAAGGTTCTCAGATATTTGTACAATCACATTCATAGCAGCATTGTTCACAACAGCCAAAAGGTGGAAGCAACTCAAATGCCCATCAGTAGATGAAGAATGGGTAAAGAAAATGTGGTATATGCATAAAATGGATTATTCAGCCTTAAAAAGGAAGGACATTCTGACATATTACAACATGGATGAATCTGGAGGACATTATTCTAAGTGAAATAAGCCAGACACAAAAGACAAATATGTACTGTACTAAAGGAGTTTAGAACGTGTGCTAGTGAATGTGTGCATATTGGTGTGTGTGTGTGTGTGTGTGTGTGTGTGTGTGTGTGTGTGTGTGTGTGTATCTCACAACTGAGCCTACTATTTGGTTGGGCAAAGAATCAACACCATTTTTGCTGAGTTTCTAATATGTGTGGACATTTATTAATTTCAAAATTATATACAAAACTGTAATTGACGGTAAATATTGTGAAAAAAATGTAAACATGAATACACAAGGAGAGCAGAGATGAGGGACTACTTCTAAGTTTCGACTGATTATGGGGCAGGAAAAAAGACCAGATCTAAGAACCCAAAGAGCCTTTTAGATGGTGGCGGCCACTTTAAAACCCTATCCCTAGCATTGGGGAGGACACCAAAGTGTATGATGCCCAGTTTCTTCTTTTATGGAACTCAATCCAGTATTAGACATGCTCATGCATTTATTATTCAACTTTGTATCATTAAGACCCTGGCAAAAACTGTCCATATAGTAAGGGCTTAATGAAGGTTTGTTAAATGAATGGATAAAGAAGAGTTCATGAACATGTGATAAGTCCCAAATAGGTGTGGTGGCATTTAGTGAGGGAATGAGTGGTCCAGTGTTTTAGAGCAGAGCCATCATTCTTATAGTCAGATTTTGAGGTCTAAGAATGTAGACTTTACCCTCAAGATTTATGATCAGATTATTTAGCATGGAATGGCAGTCGGACAATAGTATGTAGAATAAACTAGAGCTGTCGGGCTTGGTACTGGAGGCAAAAAAGAAATGTAAAAAAAAAAACCCAAAAACGTCTTTTAAGAACAGGAAAGAGAACAGCTAAATTGTTTTTTAAGGAGGACCGGTTTTAGGGAAGATGATAAACTTGGCGTTTGATAAATTAGGCGTTTGAAGTCGGAAGAGATGCAGAGAAATCTACGTGCAAACTCCAGCAAGCATCAGTTAGACTTTAGTAGAGAGATTGGTTCCAAGTTGAGGTAGACGTTGGAATGTTGCAGCTGTGAGGGAACACGGGGATCGTGTACACCAACCCCTTGAACGCTTTGGCTTCACTAGTGAGGCAAATGAGACTCAGGGATAACGAAGGTGGCAGCGGTGGGTGGCAGTGATGGTGATGGCAGCTAACACTTCTTGAGCGTGCCAGGCCGTGAGCTAAGTTCTTTACATACAGAACTGTGCCTCACTGCATAGTCACAACAGCCCCAAGATGACAAGGTAATTTAGTGACTGAAGCCTCTTCTCGCTAATCAGGGTTGATTTCACCTTCTCCAGAACCTATGCTACTCTACCTTGGAGCAGTAGCCAGTATTCAGGCCCTAGCGCAGCCCAGGAACGTGGAGACCTCTCTTTAGGAAGCACCCCCCCAGATCAGAGAAGGAATCGTGGGGGCACGTGACACGCGAGGAGCAGGCGACCAGGGCGTGGGCGCACAGCCACAATCTGCAGCGCCAGGACCGCCTGGGGCAGCGGCCCTTCACCCTCCAGGGGGCGACTCTGCGGTCCCCGGGCGCTCCCACCCAACGTGGCTGACGCAGCACCGCCTCGCCCCGCCCCTCGGGGTCCCCGCCTAGCCCGGCGCGCGCCCGGCGCGAGGGTGCGGGGCGTGAGATTAGACGGCGGGAGGGGTGGGGATGGGACACGAGGGGTCACGTCAAAGCAGCGTAGACAAAGGGCGGGCGCGCGCACGTCCTTACGCACGCCTGTGCTGGCGGCGGCGGGCCAGGGCGGGCGGAACTGCCATCAGAGGGATTTGGGTCCCCGGAGCCTCGCGGTCGGTGAGTATGACCGAGGCGGCCCCTTCCTGAAGGTCACTGGCTTCAAGGGAGCCGAGAGTGGAGCGTGGGGTTCGGGGCCAGGCGCCCCGCAAGGGGCCTGCGGTCCGGGGACGCCCTCCCTACGCCGCGCCGGCGTCAGGAGACACCATTGCCGCTTCTTGGGGTTGCCCGGCCGGTCGGAGCGTTCCGCCCCCTCGGCCGCAGTGGAACAGTCCTAACCCCACCCGCCGCCGCAGTGCCGGGAGCCTGGTCCCCCAGCGCGGCGCCGCGCCCTCTTCCCCGGCCCTCCCGGTTCTGGCCGGTCCCTCTTGAGATGGACTCCTCGGTCTACCCGAATCGCAGGGGCGCCACGGCCCTCCCTCCTCTAGCGCGGAGGAATGCAGTTCGTGAGGGTTGAAGGAGTATTAACCATCACGAGGAAGCGCCTTCACCTATCATTTCTTTTCCCATGTCTTTCGGCTCCCCTGGGATGTATACTCTTGTTCGCCAAAGGAGCCCCATTTTTCTTTCTTTAGGATTTCTTTACTCCCGAAATCCCTTGCCTTTCCGTTTTGATTTCACACCCTGCGAGGCATCCTGCCAGAGGGTCTTGTTTATTTCCTCACTTTGCGCTTCACATAGGGCTTTAACTTTTGCTGTTGAAAAGTTAGGGAACATATACTATAGGAAACATACCGCATAGCTCTGTGGGAGTAAGTTCCATATTGCTCTAGATGTCAATGCCTTTCATCACTTCTTATGTTACCCCGCCCACCCCCACCCCCACCCCGTGGATTTTCTCAGTGGTAACCTTGAGATCAGTTGAAGAATTTCCTTTTTGGTTCATTTTCCTTAATTTATGCTCAACTTTGAGTAGCTCTGCTTAGTTTCATGTCTTGTAGATCCTATCTCAACCCAAGGGAAATGGTGTGAAAAAGCAGTTATCCTTATGCCAAGACTGCAGAAAAGAACCTTGTAATAATGCCAGTTAGGTATTCCTTCCTCACTTTGACAGTGATGTCGGGGGTTTTTTTTATGTTATATTATGGAGAATTTCAGACATACAGAAGTAGATAGAATAGTGAACCAGCAGGTACCCATCATCCAGCCTCAGCAGCTCACAGTATGGCTAAGCCTGTCTCATCCGTATCCCTATCCATTTCCCCCTTCCCTATATCTGGGATAAATCCTTGACTTCAAAAGTAGCTTGCGATTCTAAATAAAAGTCTTACTATCAAATAAAGTCATAATGTACTTTTTTTAGGACACAGTCTACTCTTCTAAGTCCTTCAACTAAGAAACACGCAATAGCATTGCAGAAGAACCAAAAAAAGGGTATCTAAAATGATCAAGCTGCTGAAGAGCAGGTTAAAACAAAAAGTCTTTCAGACCTGGATGAGCACTTCCAGATCATCTTGTCTAAGTTTTTCATTTTTGATGAGCCTTCAAGGTCCAGAGAGGTTCATTGACTTGTCCAGATCTACAGGAAATAAGATCTGGGGAGACATCTAAGGCTGGGGAGACATTTCCCAACTCTGTATCCAGTCTTTCTACTGTACCATGCTGCTCACCTTTGAGTTGTCTTCAGGAAGGAGAACTGTATGGAAGGGATAAGACAGAAAACTTATAAATGAAGGGTTGAGATGGGTAAATAGGAACTTTTCCACCAGATTCTGGAATAATACAATTAGGGGATATGCCTTAAATTTTTTCCCAAAATATATTTGGGACAGATCTCAAATAGCTTTTAGGAAACATGGGGAAATTGTGACCTTAGAAGTAGAATAGGGATTAAGAACAAGCTTTTAAAATACTTAGATAACATTCATAGCTATTTAGTAGTTACTAAGGGAAACTGGAATGATTTGGAGTACACCCCTGAGATTTTGCTCTTGGTAGCAGGGAGAACAATTGCACACTCCCATAAAACATTCTTTCTTGGCATTAACATATAAAAATCATGGACTGGATGAAACGTGAGTTGGGCTTTTTTTTTTTTTTTAACAAAACCACAGTATACATTTCCTAGCATACTTTATGCTATTAAATTTCCGTATCTAAAGAAAGACCAGTAAATTCAGTACTTCTGCCTCAGTTTTCTTACCCTTAAAATGGGGATATTCTACCTCCGGGGAATGCGATGACCAAGGGAATCTTTGTTACCTAGAGTTCTTTGAGCTGGCTTATAAGTTCAATTTATGACGTGACATAATTGTGTGTTTTTTATTGTTAGTTTCAGGTGTACAGAATAATGCAATAGTTATCCTTTTCACTCTTCACACAGAAACAACCCCCCTCTCCCATCTACTGCCCTCCCAACCCCCAATATCATACTTATCTATTACAATTCCATTGACTCCATTCCCACACTCTACTCCACGTCCCGTGACTATGTGTATATATAATTATAGTTGACATACAATATTATTCAACATCAGCTTCAGGAATACAGTGCGGTGGTCAGGCCTCTACACTGTCTACGAAGTGGTCTCCCTAACAAGACATGAGTCCATCTGGCCCCCTAAAAAATATTTACAGCATTATTGATTGATTATATTCCCCAGACTGTCTTTTCTATCCCTGAGGCCATATTGTAGTTACCAATTTGTATTGTCTCATCCCTTCCCCTTCTCCTTCATCC